CACTGGGGGGAGAGAAATGGGCTTTCGGCATTGTATATGCGGGCAGGGAAGGCCTAGATCGGAAATGGAATGATGCTATCTATGAAACGCTAAGACAGCAATTTGAGAAACTTCAGTCATTAAACTATAATTGTATCATTATACTTATAGGCGACTTTAATGGACATATTGGGTTAGCGAACGAAGTTATAAATGGAAATTGGCAGCGGTTACTGGATTTCGTCGAGAACAACAGTCTAAAAATCTTAAACGAGGATAACAGATGTAGTGGGAAATATACGTGGAGCCGGAACAACCTCCGGTCTGTCGTGGATTATGCGCTAACAAATAGAAAGGCAGATAAGAGAATTGATGAAATTAGGATATTTGACGCTGGGGAAATCGACATTAACTCTGACCATTTCCCCATGATAATCTACTTAAATATTAAAATGAGTAAGAATAAGAAAATCCGGAAGACAAGTAAAAGTAGAGTATGGAAACTCAGGGACGCGAACTGGGAGTTTTCAAATGCAATGCGATAATAAATTTAGGGAATCTGAAGAGCTACTTGAGCTTTCTCAAACAGTAGAGGAATTAGAAAGAGAGATCATTAGAGTCCTAAATGGGGTGGGAGGGAAAAGTGTTGGGAAAACATCAGGCAAGGTAAGACTGCAGAAGGATAGACTGTGGTTTGATGTGCAAGAGAGCCAGACAGGATAGACAAGCAGCCTGTAGAATTTTCAAGAAGATGGGGAAGGGTTTTCTGGAGGGGAAGCCCTCTGGGAAAGAAAAATTGGAGGAAGCAAAATTAGTGTACCATAGGAAAAAAGAAATAGCAACAAAAGTTTTTGAAAATAAACGAGCAAACTTTGAAAAACAACAGGTTATAAATATAAAATCAGCGGGTAGGGAAAGTACTAAGCGTTTTTGGGAGCTAATTAGAAAGGAAGAACCTATGTACGCAATGGCATGATAGTTAAAATAAGAAACGAAGATGGTTGCGTCTTGGAAAAAAAGGAGGATATAGGAAATGAACTCACGGGTTTCTGGCAAGAAATCAACTCAGGCTCTAGCATCTCAGTGGGCCCCAAGGAGTCCCCACCACGTACATATAGCCCTCATATAGATAGTAGAAATACTTTGTTAAGTAGAATAACGGTAGAGGAGGTGCAGCTTAGAATTAAGCCAAGTAAGCAGGGCAAGGCCTGTGGCTTTGACGAGGTACCAAACGAATTTCAAAAGTTTGGGGGGAAATTCCTAGTCAAAGCACTAACGGTCCTCTTTAATAAAATTCTACAGTCATTGGAGTTCCCAGATTCATGGAAGAAATCAAAAGTATCATTAGTTTATAAGGGTAAAAACCT